ATCCTATACTTAGTAATCACAGATTCTAGCCTACATCTTGCAATATGACCCAAATAAGAATTTTCACCGTATATTGCCATCTGAACAAGTAAGTAACAAGTCTGCCACGTTTGTTCTGACCAACTGAGGAAAAAAGCATTACCATACATCAGGCTACCAATGGTGATTAAATCTAAAGATCGGTTAGCTCATATCATATCAAACCGTTCAAATTATTATTATTGTTATACTTTATTCTCAAATGATTAATGTTAACAACATCAGCATTGGTGACTATGAGTATAGTGTGTATTAGCGTGTAGATTTCAATTTTTGCACAGTCTAATCTAATTGTCATACTCTTCGAATTTCATATTAAGAAATTCTTTTAACCCAAAAAGCAAATTATGCTCCCTTCGAACTGGTTGTCTTTAAAATACAAATATTGTGTAGGCTATCTGTAATCAGAAGCACATTTAAAACTGGAATATAATTTAATTTCATTCACATGTGTTTCATAAACACATAATCCTTTCTGGATTACAATCCACCATCAAAATGATACATTTAATTATTCCAGCTGCTGTGATAAAAGGCTATAAACGATCGGCCACCTGCAGGATCCTCACATGCGATAGCCTAGTAGCCGGGACAACTTCTTTATGTTTACAGAAGTGACGTAATGACGTAGCAGCAAGCTCGAATTTCCCGCGAAAACCTACCCGTACCACTCAAATTAGAAAACATTATTATTAGCTGACCGTTGTGAATCGGGGTAAAGTAAGGCGATAGTTTCGAACACTGGCTGGTTATGTACTTGCTCAAATATTGATTTTGGATCATTTTTAACCAAAAAAAGTTACGGACTGCAGCTTTAACGTAGCGTTTTGGATCTGACGTACCAGTTGAAGCTCAGGATGAATGTGAATTTTCTCAATTTGGAAGTCTTGAACAGGTCCATGAAAGACGCAGTCGAGATTGAGTCTGTATTTTCATCAGTCAGTGTCTGATGGATGAATTTGTATGTTTAAGAGACATTTGGGCATTCAGTGTTATTTTATGCTCATCGTTGTAATGTAAACCTTGTACCTCAGTATTCTTGGACAGTGTCTTTTTGTTCTCCTTGGCTATTGCTTTTGTGATCTCTAGTGCTTCGTTTCTCTTGTTTTGGCTAAGGAGCCATCTTGGTGATTCGGGGATAAACCTGAAATTCAGAGTGTATTTAAATAACGCAATATTGCTACATTTATCCAACATAGTGTAAAAAATAATAAATAAATAAATAACTACATGTAAATATCCTAAATGTATTTAAACCCAGATTCTTTGTGGTCATCCTGAAATCATACATGGTTTGGGAGTAATGGTGACAAATGGTAAAATGTTATAATGTTGTTTAGATGGAAATGCACATATCAAACAGATATATACAGTTCAAAAGATATTTTTTAAAAGAAGTCTTTTAGGCTCACCAAAGCTGCCTTTATTTGATAAAGAAAATACAGTGAAAATAGTAATTTTGTAAAATATAATTACAATCTGAAACAACTGCTTTCTATTTTAATATATATTTTGTTAAATGTATTTTATTTCTGTGATGCAAAGCTGAATTTTCAGCATCATTACTCCAGTCTTCAGTGTCACATGATCCTTCAGAAATCATGCTGATTTGCTGCTCATTCGGGGATAAACCTGAAATTCAGAGTGTATTTAAATAACGCAATATTGCTACATTTATCCAACATAGTGTAAAAAATAATAAATAAATAAATAACTACATGTAAATATCCTAAATGTATTTAAACCCAGATTCTTTGTGGTCATCCTGAAATCATACATGGTTTGGGAGTAATGGTGACAAATGGTAAAATGTTATAATGTTGTTTAGATGGAAATGCACATATCAAACAGATATATACAGTTCAAAAGATATTTTTTAAAAGAAGTCTTTTAGGCTCACCAAAGCTGCCTTTATTTGATAAAGAAAATACAGTGAAAATAGTAATTTTGTAAAATATAATTACAATCTGAAACAACTGCTTTCTATTTTAATATATATTTTGTTAAATGTATTTTATTTCTGTGATGCAAAGCTGAATTTTCAGCATCATTACTCCAGTCTTCAGTGTCACATGATCCTTCAGAAATCATGCTGATTTGCTGCTCATGAAACATTTCTGTTTATGATCAATGTTGAAAACATTGCTAATTATTTCATATTACGTGGAAATATATATAATAATATTTTGTGGAAACCCTAATAGATTTTAACACAAAATATTTTGTAACATTATAAATGCCTTCACTGACACTTCTGAGCAGCCTTGCTGAATAAAAGTATTAATCTCTCTCTCTTTTTTTTTTAAATAGTGTATTTTGAAGATGTACACGTGATATCAAAGGTCTGTCTGGGTAAAATACAACAGTATTTGTATCCTAATTTATATTTAATCTAAACTTTTCATTTAAATCTTGTAAGAAATAGATAGAAAACAAGTTTTATGAAGGTGGGTTGGTGGGGATTATAAAAGGACACAATATTCCCATTTGCACATAAATCTGGAAAACACAAGTGCAGCCTTCTGAAGCCTCCATCTGTATGGCACATCATGCACCCGTGTACAGGCCCTTACCAATAGTACGTCAGGAAGCAGATGTAAGGTATGGTGAAGACCACCTGTAGCCAGCGCCAATTCGGTATGAAGTACGCTAAGAGAGGAAGGATGAGAATGCCCAGGCTGAAGAACATCTGATAGGTCACTCCCACCGTTCTCCTGTACTCCACTCCAACCAGCTCTGTGACTGCAGCCAGGAAACAAGAGATCATGGAACATGAGGATATCTGAAATATCAAGGATGCTAGTAAACGTTTAATGCAATACCACTGCATTGGAGCTGAAACAAACATACTTATCAGAAATATAAGTGTGATTTAATCATTTGAAAATGTTTTGTTACTTAGCACGTATCCAACCATCCAGCCGCCCTTCACCCCAAAGCCAAAGAGCACTCTGAACACCAGCAGGGCGATGTAATTAGGGGACGTGGCCACCAGAATCCCTGCTACTCCGATGAAGAAGTTGGTCATTAGGAAACTCTTCATTCTGCCGTATCTGTAAGAAAAAATAAGAACAAATGTGAATCAATTAGATGGTTACTGAAACAATCCCTTTGTGCATGCCAATAAAAACAATTACTTGTCTTTCATTTTGTAGACTGACTGATAGGATGTACACTACTGTTTAAAAGTTTGGGGTCAGTAAGATTTTATGTTTTTGAAAGAAGTCTCTTAGACTGCGTCAATTTGATTAAAGAAAAACGAACAGTAATATTGTGGAATTTTATTAAAATTTAGAATAGTTGTTTTCTATTTGAATGGATTCTAAAATGTAATTTATTCCTGTGATGAAAAACTGAATTTTCAGCATTAACATACCTGAAAAAATTTATTATCAATGTTGAAAACATTTGTGCTGCTTAGTTTTTTTGTTGAAACCATTAATAATAAGTTCAAAAGAACACCATTCAGTTATTCTGTAACATTATAAAATGTTTTAATGTCACTTTTCAATTCCATTTAATGCAACATTGCTTAATAAAGGTATTATGTATTTATTTTTATAAATCTTACTCCCAACTTTTGAACTAGTGTATGAATCTTGATTGCACTGAATCAAAAAAACAAAGCTCTTTTTCTGAGGTCCTCAGAGATCTCCTTTGTCCGTTCAATGATTCACTTCCACAAACATGATCAGACTTTGATAGATCCCTGTTCTCTAAATAAAACAGGGCACACACTGACACCTGATAGTCATCTCACTGATTAAAAACACCTCTGAACAGATGGACTCTAATTTCACCTTCAAATTAACTGCTAATTCTAGTGATTCATGTACTTTTGCCACTCACAGATAGGTAATATTGGATCATTTTCTAGAATAAATAAATGAAAAAGTATATATTTTTTTTATCTAATTTGTTTGACTGGGTTCTCTTTGTCTACTTTTCAGGATCTGATGATCTTTTGGGTCATATTTATGCAGAAATATAGAAAATTCTAAAGGGTTCACAGATTTTCAAGCACCACTGTGTATATATACACACACATAATGGAAAACAAGTCAAAAAAGGCTAATTAAAAACTCAAAATGCATCTGTATAACATTGAAAATTGTTAAAATAATAAGAATAATAAGAGGATTGGGAAACCCTATAGTAAGTATCGGTCATACTTGTCTGCCAGGTATCCAATTGCAATGCTGCCCACTAAGAAACCAACACTGAGCATGGCCTGGAACATGTCAACATACCAGGCATCTGCACACACTAGATCAAACTGCAACACACAGGTCTCACATCAGACATTTAGTTCTCTCATTGCACTTCACAAAATTATTACCAAAAGAAAAAAGCTTGT